AGGGTTGCAGATTGGATAAAAAGATAGGACCTACCCATATGCTGTCTACAACAGACTCATTTTGAACCTAAACATACGTCCAGACTGAAAGTGAAGGGATGGCGATCCATCTTCCATGCCAACGGACCTCAAAAGAAAGCTGGGGTAGCAATTCTTATATCAGACAAATTAGATTTTAAACTAAAGACTGTACTTAGAGACACAGAAGGACACTATATCATTCATAAAGGGACTATCCAACAAGAAGATCTAACAATTGTAAATATTTATGCCCCCAACATGGAAGCAGCCGTCTACATAAGCCAACTGTTAACCAAACTAAAGAGTCATATTGATAATATTATGTTAATTGTAGGAGACCTCAATACTCCACTCTCAGCAATAGACAGATCATCTAAGCAGAAAACCAACAAAGAAACAAGAGCTTTGAATAACACACTGGACCAGATGGACCTCATAGATATATACAGAACATTCCACTCTAAAACAACAAAATGCTCATTCTTCTCGAGCACACACGGAACTTTCTCCAGAATAGACCACATACTGGGTCACAAATCAGGTCTCAACCAACACCAAAAGACTGAGATTATTCTCTGCATATTCTCAGACGATAATGCTTTAAAACTGGAACTCAAGCACAAGAAAAAATTTGGAAGAAATTCAAACACTTGGAAGCTAAAGACCACTCTGCTCAAGAATGTTTGGGTCAACCAGGAAATCAAAGAAGAACTTAAACAATTCACAGAAACCAATGAGAACAAAAACACATTGGTCCAAAACCTATGGGATACTGCAAAGGCGGTCTTAAGGGGGAAATACATAGCCATCCAAGCCTCGCTCAAAAAAATAGAAAAATCCCGAATTCATCAACTAACTTTACACCTTAAAGAACTGGAGAAAAAGCAACAAACAATGCCTAAGCCAAACATTAGAAGAGAAATAATTAAGACTAGAGCAGAGATCAATGAATTAGAAACCAGAAACACAGATCAGATCAACGAAACTAGAAGCTGGTTCTTTGAAAGATAAATGTCGATAAACCACTGGCCAGACTTATCCAAAAGAAAAGAAAAAGGACCCAAATTAATAAAACTATGAATAAAAGAGGAGAGATCATGACTCACAGCAAGGAAATAGAAATAATTATTAGAAATTATTATCAACAACTATATGCCAATAAATTGAGCAACTGGAGGAAGTGGATGCCTTCCTGGAAACCTATAAACTACCAAGACTGAAACAGGAAGAAATTGACAACCTGAATAGGCCAATAACCAGTAATGAGACTGAAGCAGTGATCAAAAAACTCCCAAAAAACAAGAGTGCAGGGCCTGATGGATTCCCTGGGGAATTCTACCAAACATTCAAAGAAGAAATAATACCTATTCTACTGAAGCTGTTTCAAAAAATAGAAACAGAAGGAAAGCTTCCAGATTCATTCTATGGGGCGAGCATAACCTTAATCCCCAAACCAGGCAAAGACCCCATCAGAAAGGAGAATTTCAGACCAATATTTCTGATGAATATAGATTCCAAAATTCTCAACAAAATCCTAGCTAATAGGATCCAACAATACATTAAAAGGATCATCCACCACGACCAAGTGGATTTATCCCCGGGATGCAAGGGTGGTTCAACATTTGCAAAGCAATCAATGTGATAGAACACATTAATAAGAGGAGGGAGAAGAACCATACGGTCCTCTCAATCGTTGCAGAAAAAGCCTTTGACAAAATACAGCATCCTTTCCTAATTAAAACTCTTCAGGGTATAGGGATAGAGGGAACATTCCTCAAGTTCATAAAATCCATCTATGAAGAACTCACAGCAAATATCATCCTCAACGGGGAAAAGAGGAGAGCCTTTCCCTTAAGATCAGGAACACAACAAGGATGCCCACTCTCGCCACTACTGTTCAACATAGTACTAGAAGTCCTAGCCACAGCAATCAGACAACAAAAAGAAATAAAAGGATTCAAATTGTCAAAGAAGAAGTCAAACTCTCTCTCTTCACAGACGACAGGATACTTTATGTGGAAAATCCAAAAGACTCCACCCCCAAATTACTAGAACTCATACAGCAATTCAGTAATGTGGCAGGATACAAAATCAATGCACAGAAATCAGTTGCTTTCTTATACACTAACAACGCAACTGTAGAAAGAGAAATTAGAGTATCGATTCTATTCACACCAAAAACCATAAGACACCTTGGAATAAACCTAACCAAAAAGGTAAAGGATCTATACTCTAGGAACTATAGAACACTTCTGAAAGAAATTAAAGAAGACACAAAAAGATGGAAAAACATTCCATGCTCATGGATCGGAAGAATAAACATTGTTAAAATGTCTATGCTACCCAGAACAATCTATACCTTCAACACCATCCTGATAAAAATTCCAATGACATCGTTCAAAGTGCTGGAACAAAGAATCTTAAAATTTGTATGGAGTCAGAAAAGACCCCGAATTGCCAAGGAAATGTTGAAAAAGAAAAACAAAGCTGGGGGCATCACACTGCCTGATTTCAAGCTATATTATAAAGCTGTAATCACCAAGACAGCATGGTACTGGCACAAAAACAGACATATAGACCAATGGAACAGAATAGAGAGCGCAGACATGGACTCTCAACTCCATGGTCAAATAATCTTCAACAAAGCAGGAAAAAATATGCAATGGAAAAAAGACAGTCTCTTCAATAAATGGTGCTGGGAAAATTCGACAGTTATATACAGAGGAATGAAACTCGACCATTCTCTAACACCATACACAAAGATAAACTCAAAATGGATGCAAGACCTCAATGTGAGACAGAAATCCATCAGAATCCTAGAGGAGAACATAGGCAGTAACCTCTTCGACATTGGCCACAGCAACTTCTTTCAAGATACATCTCCAAAGGCAAGTCAAACAAAAGCAAAAATGAACTTTTGGGACTTCATCAAGATAAAAAACTTCTGCACAGAAAGGAAACAGTCAACAAAACAAAAAGGCAACCCACAGAATGGGAGAAGATATTTGCAAATGACTCTAGAGACAAAGGGCTGATATCCAAGATCTATAAAGAACTTCTCAAACTCAACACCCTAAAAGCAAATAATCAAGTCAAAAAATGGGCAGAAGACATGAAAAGACACTTCTCTGAAGAAGACATACAAATGGCTAACAGGCATATGAAAAAATATTCATCATCATTTTTCATCAGCGAAATTCAAATCAAAACCACATTGAGATACCACCTTACACCAGTTAGAATGGCAAAAATAGACAGGGAAAGAAACAACAAATATTGGAGAGGTTGTGTGGAAAGGGGAACCCTCTTACATGGTTGGTGGGAATGCAAGTTGGTTCAGCCACATTGGAAAACAGTGTGGAGTTCCTCAAAAAGTTAAAAATAGAGCTACCCTATGACCCAGCAATTGCACTCCTGGGTATTTACCCCAAAGATACAGATGTAGTGAAAAGAAGGGCCACATGCACCCCAATGTTCATAGCAGCAATGTCTACAATAGCCAAACTGTGGAAAGAGCCGAGATGCCCTTCAACAGACAAACGGATAAAGAAGATGTGGTCCATATATACAGTGGAATATTACTCAGCCATCAGAAAGGATGAATACCCAACTTTTGCATCAACATGGATGGGACTGGAGGAGATTATGCTAAGTGAAACAATTCAAGCAGAGAAAGTCAATTGTCATATGGTTTCACTTATTTGTGAAACATAAGGAATAGCATGGAGGACATTAGGAGAAGGAAGGGAAAAATGAAGGGGGGGAAATCAGAGAGGAAGACGAACCATGAGAGACTATGGACTCCAAGAAACCAACTGAGGGTTTTAGAGGGGAGGGGGTAGGGGGATGGGTTAGACTGGTGATGGGTATTAAGGATGGCATGTATTGCCTGGAGCACTGGGTGCTATACGAAAACAATGAATCATGGAACACTACATCAAAAACTAATGATGTACTGTATGGCAACTAACATAACATAATAAAATTAAATTAAATTAAAAAAGTAAAATAAAATAAAATGCCAAATCTATGCCTGTTACTCCAAATGTGTTTCAAAGTGAAAGGCCTGATGTAGAAACCAGGAAGAATCAGTACTGAAAGAGTCAAGAGACTATAGGAACCAAAGGCAGGCCTCCTCAAAATGGGCCACTTTGGCACGAAGAGTATTTTGAGTTAAAAAGCAATCAAAACCCAGCAGATTCAGGAAAATCTCTTTACCACTCTCCTCAACTGCATAAAAAGGATTTAGACAGAAGACCTGCTCCAGGAAGAGAGCTATCACCACAGATAACTACATTATAATATGAAATGGGTGTGACAGGCAGTGAGGAACCTAGAAAGGCCGGTTTGATCAAAGTTCTCTGTATCCCCCTGTTTCCCAAGAGGCCTAGCAAACATTTGCTTACCAAATATTTACTCTTTTTCCCCTTTATGTAAATTGTATTCCTTCCCTTTGAAGTCTCAGACCCCTATCCCCTTCTCCTTAATTCAGAATGACATATAGACCTCATTTTGCCTGTCTTTGGAATTTCCATGTCTATGTGCATTCCCCAGACATACACTATTAAATTTGATTTTCTTCTGTTAATCTGTCTCATGTCAATTTGATTCTTAGTCCAGCTAGAAAGACCTTGAGGGGACAGGATATTCCTGATCCCTGACAAGAGCATAATCCTGCTTTTACCATATGTGTGAGGGCAAGAATACAGGCTAAGGTTAAGTTTGCTCTTGGTAACTCTTGAAACATGCATGTAGAATTCTAATCAGTAAAGCCACTATAAGATACCATAGAGCTAAAAGATGTTTTTCATAAGCACTTAAGGTCCATATTACTGGATTTAAAATAAAACTGCTATAATTTGAATAATTTATTCTAATGTGCTCATTTAGTATGGATTTTTTTAGGGATCGCAATTTAAGTGTACAACAAAAGCTCTGTTTGCAAAAAGAGAGTCTATGAACATTTAATGGGTTCTTACCAGAGCAAGGCATTTCATTTCAATAATGTTTACTGGTGGTCCCGGAGAGCTATGGATCTCAAGATAATACCAGACTTGGAAATTGCTCACACTATCATCTGAAAAAGAGAAAACAAGAAAGAAACATCTCTTAATGTAGGCTTCAGAATACCATACTTAACATAAAATTTGAGAAACATCAATAGATACCATTTTCAAAATCTTTCTGATGTACTCATTTGTCAAGAGATGGAAGTGGAGGGTGAAAAGCTGATTGCATTACAATTTGTGAGTGCAAAGAGAAGCACCATCCTGCATGGCCATGACCTTGCCCTATAAAAGCTCCCTGTCCTCCGACTGCCCCAGGAACTCATTATATTCCCTACTAAAATAAGAATGTTTTACTTCTAAGTTAAGAATTAATATTTCAAAAGAAATAACCAATCATTTTCCCAATTGCCAAAACATTCACATATTATATATAGAACTATCTAAGTATTATAATTCACAGTGGTACATTTCTAAGATTCTAGTCTAAGGACACAATCAGGAATAGTTGATGAGATTTTTCTTTTCTTGAAAGTGTAATAAAGGATTCTAGCAATTTAGCCTAAAGGAAGCTAGATTGGGAATGAACTACATGGTGAGAAAGTAATGTTTACATCTGGGTTCCCGATATTTTTTTTTAAAAGTAGGCATTTCTGTTGCTGGTGATGCCTAAAGTCATCCTCCCAAATCCTGCCAATGGAACCCTCGTCCACCACAACATTCCTGTGTAGCGGGGTATGTACTGGCATCAAACTCAAATTTTCCATTTGTTTAGCCTGATCTGTTCAGCTTCTACTTCGATATTCTTTATTCTCCAGTGTTGAGCTAGTATATGGTTTAAGATGTCCTCCAATTTCAGTTATTCATATGCACATTCAAATCGGTATGTCATGTTTTAAAGATTCCATGTACTGCTATGTCTGCCTAACTTACTTAGGTAAATCATTAACCTCTTTGGCCCTCAGATTCCTTATCTGAAATAAGGGTCCCAGACTAGTGGAATTCTCTCTCTCTTCGAAAGAGAGTGTTGTATATTGCGCTACATTGTGTTGTATGGAATTGTACTGCATGGTGAAGCGGAGTAGAATTTGCCACCCCATAGCACATACCCTCCCCAATGTCTATCACCCAGCCACCCCATCCCTCCCACCCCCACCACTCCAGCAACCCTCAGTTTGTTTCCTGAGATTAAGAATTCCTCATATCAGTGAGATCATGATACATGTCTTTCTCTGATTGACTTATTTCGCTCAGCATAACACCCTCCAGTTCCATCCACGTCGTTGCAAATGGCAAGATCTTATTCCTTTTGATGGCTGCATAATATTCCATTGTATATATATACCACTTCTTCTTTATCCATTCATCTGTCGATGGACATCTTGGCTCTTTCCACAGTTTGGCTATTGTGGACATTGCTGCTATAAACTTCGGGGTGCACGTACCCCTTCGGATCCCTACATTTGTATCTTTGGGGTAAATACCCAGTAGTACAATTGCTGGATCGTATGGTAGCTCTCTTTTCAACTTTTTGAGGAACCTCCATACTGTTTTCCGAGGTGGCTGCACCAGCTTGCATATGGTGATTAACATAACATAATAATAATAATAAAATAATAAATAAATAAGAATTTGCCACCCCAAAATATGTCTTTGGTATAAGGATTATTTTGAGCTGATTATTTTTAAGAAACTGCAGATACAGAAGCTCTGAAAACAGAGTAGAAGTTACCCTTTTGTAAGAGACATTTACATTTCTAAAGGAAATCTGCATTTGTAAGGGTGTCTCCCTCTCTGTACTAGGATGTTGGGAGACTAAATCTTTAGAAACCTGTAAAACAACCTTACACTTGTTTACTGTGCTTTCCTGATAACTGCATTATTGGCTCTCCATCCCCCAACATCTTTATTTGTCTTTAGCTGGAGATGGTATTTTAAGGTAAGGGTTTGGCCCATTTCAAGGAGTTATTCATTTTTCCTGGTTCTATCCCATATATAGAAGAGGTATACTTTTTTTTTGAGAGAGAGAGAGAGAGGAGCGGCTAAGGGCAGAGGGAGAGGGAGAATGAGAATCCCAAGCAGGCTCCACACCCACTGGAGCCCCACACAGTGCTCAATCTCAGGACCCTGAAATCATGACCTGAGCCGAAATCAAGACTTGGTTGCTTAACTGAATGACCCACCAAAGCACCAAGCCAGTAACACATGTTACTGAACTTTTGTTTTCTTTTTCCTGCTAATCTTTTTTTTATTATTATTATTACAGGGGGCTCTCGGCCAAGAATTTAGAAAGGTAGAGGGAAAATTACTCCCCCCTACCAGGAGCATTTTATCTTATTGCACTGCAATGCACTACTTCATATCATATTATATTATATTGTATTGTATGCCACTCTAATACTTTAGCTATTAAGCAGTACTTATCAAATTAGTGGATTTTAGAACAATCCAGACATTCAGAACAATTAGCTAGTGAGAGGGAGACAGAGAAGGTCCATGTGAATTCTTATTCTAAATACTTGTGAGAAGTTCTTGAGGGTGATCTTACCTCCACATTTTGAATTGCCTTCTGTGTTTATTTATTTTACAGACACCAACTAATTACCTGGAAACCATTAATGCACAGAGAATAAGTTACCAACTTTATACTGACGTTAGGTTACTGTGAAAACCTCTGCTCACGTTTGTATTGGCTGCTCCTTCAATTCTATGACAGTGCTTTAAATGCTTTTATGAAGTTTAAATGTGACATCTCAAAATAAACCAAAGTTGTTAAAATGAAAAATGCTTCCCCTTCTAGGTTGCTCATGTATATTTCACTGGCTTTTCCAATGCTTTTAATCCACATTGAACTCACAGGGAAAATAATTCTGGAGAGAAAGGGCTTCATGACCATAAAGCCTGAATGCCCCACAACTCTGGGCTGGCACAAAGAACAATAAAACAGTCTGCTCATCTATGGAATGGGGACTGTCTTAGTCAAGGTTCTCCAAAGAAAGAGAAGCAATAGAACATGTGTGTGCATATAAAGAGACAGAGACAGAGAAACAGAAGCAGCAAGAGATTGATTTTAAGGAAATGGCTCATGCAATTGACTTGGTAGGTCCAAAATCTGCAGGTTAGGTCAGCAGGCTGTAGACTCAAGAAAGAATTGCAGTGCAAATCCAAAAGTGGTCTATGGGTAGAATTCTTTTTTGTTCTGGGGAGGTCAGTCTTGGTTCTGTTAGGACCTTCAACTGATTGGATGAGACCTACCCACACTAGGGAGGGCCATCTTCTTTATTCAAAGTTCACAGATTTAAATGTAATTCTCATCCAAAATCACCTTTGCAGAAACATCCAGAATAATGTTTCACCTATTATCTGGGCACCATAACCTAGCTAGGTTGACACTTAAAATTAGCTATCACAGAAACAAATAACACTTAATATTTGTGATTGCTGTGACTATCACATAAGGCACTGTTATGATGTAGCTGATTTAATTCTACAGTGCTAAAAATGTACACTGATTATGAGTTTATTGGTTAGAATAAGATTAAAGATGATTTATTAGTGAGAACAAAAATAATAATTATTAAACACTGTTTAGCTACAGGCCTTAAACACATTAAAACTTTTTGCTAATTTTAAAATCAGTAACATTCACTATAGTGATTTTAGAAATTCCTGAAAAGCCTAAAGATGAAAATTATTCATTATCTCATGACTAAGAGTAAATACTTATTTTTTCTTGTATAAAACTCCAGGCTTGATATGTCAATAAAGACAGAGATGTATGATACACACACATATATATAAATACACTGGGGTATACAAATTATATAAAATTGATATATCTATATATATGTGTGTGTGTGTGTGTGTAAACATATTTTTATCCTTCAGACAACATCTGCTATTAGAACTTGAATTTTATTCCTAATCATTAGGAAAATACAAATCAAAAACCACAATGAGCTATCACCTCACACCCATTAGGATGGCTACTATCAAAAGAACAGAAAACAAGTATTGGTGGGATATGTAGAAAAGGTAACCCTTGCACTCTGTTGGTGGCCAATACAAATTGGTGCAGTCACTGAAACCGCCAACAGAATTAAGTCTGCAAAAATGCATGTAGCCCATAGTTAAAGACTACTGGGGAAAATACCAGGAAGGAACTTACAATATGCTTTGCTTAAGATAATGAAAATGTAGGGGTGCCTGGCTGGCTCAGTCGGAGGAATATGAGACTATCAATCTTGGGGTTGTGAGTTCGAGGCCCATGACAGGTGTAGGGAAAACTTAGATAAATAAATAAAGTTAAAAAAAAAAAAAGATAATGAAAATGTAGCCCAAGGGAACAGGAAATGAAACAGCCTGTGCAGACATCATAGTCATATGGTGTATAGCCTCTGCTTTTGCTAATAAAGACAGCATCACTGACAAACGTTGCGGAAATATTTTGTAGACCTGGACCAGTGAAGGAAATGACCACTCGACCACAGTCTTGAAGAGATAGGTGACCTGGAACCAGTTAATTAGTCTTGAAGTTTACCCAATCCCTGACCAATCAGAAGAACCCACAATTCCAAACCCTTTACCCTTGATTTTTGCCCTTAAAAACCCTCACTTGCAAGCCATCAGAGAGTTCAAGATTTTGAACACTAGTTCCCTGTTCTCTGGGGTGGTGCCACACAAATAAATAGCCTATCTTTCTTCAGTGCAAATGCTCAGGTTTTTTTATTGGCGTGTTGCACATTTGAGAGATGAACTCTTGTTAGGTACAGTTATACCACTATGGAAAACAGTATGGACAATCCTCAAAAATTTTAAAATAAAACTTCCATACCCACATTTGGGTATTTATCTGAAGAAAACCAAAATATTTACTTGGAAAAGATGTATGCACCCCATGTTTATTACAGCATTATTTACAATAGCCAAAATATGGAAACAACCTAAGTGTCCATCGAGGGATGAATGGATAAAGAAGTTGTGAGATATATATACAGAATGGAATATTATTCAGCCATTAAACAAAAACAAAAACAAAAACAAAACAAGGAAATCCTACCATTTACAATATGGACAGAACTTGAAGGCATTATGCTAAAGTGAAATAAATCAGAAAGAGAAAGAAAAACATTGTATGATCTCACTTAAGTGTGGTATCTTTAAAAAAAAAACCTCAGAAAAAGACATTAGACTTGTGGTTATCACAGGTCGAGCATGGGAAGGAGGTGGAAAGGGAGAAAAGTCATCAAAAGATACAAACTTTCAGTTACAAGAGAAATTAGGACTACAGTGTAATTACAACATGATGAGTATGATATAGAGGACAGTTATTAAGAGTGTAAATCCTAAGAGTTCTTACCACAGGAAATTTTATTTCCTTTTTTTCCCTTTCTTTTCACTGTATCAATATGAGAAGATAAGATATTAGCAGGACCTATTGTGGTGATCTTTTCACAATATATGTAAAGAAACCATCATGCTGCATACCTTAAACTTACAGAGTGCTGTATGTCAACTATTTTTCAAAAAAAGTGAGAAAAAATTTATGTGCAAGTAATACATATTCAAAATTATTTTAAATAAAATTGTAAAGCTAAAATATTTGTTTCAATTATTCAAAATAATAGATCACATAAGGAACATTCTTATAGAAAAATATGTGTGCATATCTCTGATTATTTTATTCAAACTAATTTCTTAGAATGAAATCATTGGATCAATAGGGATAAAAAATCTTAAACGTTTTAGGGGTGCTGGGCTGGCTCAGTTGGTAGAGCACGTGACTCAGTCTCGGAGGTGTAAATTCGAGCCCCACATTGGGCATACGGATTACTTAAAACTAAAATCTAAAAAAAAAGTTTTAAGCATATTGTAAATGCTCTCAAATTCCCATTACAATGCATAAAATTGTCTCTTTCAACTTGCCCTTCATCAAAACTGGGTGTTACTAATATTTTTCAAATTTTCCGATTTGGAAAAAGTTAAAAAAAATCTTATTGTTTTCATTTCTTTTTTGGTCCCAGCTTTGTTGAGGTATAACTATTAAAAATTATATATATTTAAGGTACAATGTGATTTGATATAGTGTGCATTATAAAATAATCACTACAATTAAGCTAATTAACACATCCATCATCTCACATAATTACTGATTTTTGGTGGGGGTGGTGAAGACATTTAAGACCTACCTTCTAAGCAAATCTCAAGTACACCCTACTGTATTATTAAATATAATCATGCGGTACATTAATTAGTTCTCCAAAACTTATTCATTTTACCTAACTGAAACTTCCCTAATTGAAAAGAGATACACTGCTGAGCAATCAGTAAGAAAAAGTTCCATGTTATTATAGGAGATGGAAAGGTTAATCCTGTCTGATATAAGAAGACAACTTTGAAGAACTGGGGATACTTGTAATATTAGATGAATTTTTCCTAGCTCTTAATCTATCTTGCAATCTGTCCTCATATCATGCAGATTTTCTTATTAGATATTCCCACTCTTTTTTATTCCATTAACATGATACCATAATATTCTGATTTGCTTTCAAACACTTTTACCTGGCTTTCCTTCATGGTTCTTCTGCCTTAGATTTCAATAGGGGTTTCACTCCTAGCATAATCCATCTACAGCAGTCATCTGCTCTTTGAACTTACCTGCACGATTTCAATTAAAGAAACCCTAAAACTTTACAACCTGTTTTTTTTTTTTTTTTTCTGGTCTCAGCTCCAAATATTCAACTGATGATTGGATATTGCTACATAAATGTCTTGCTGTCACATCAAAATCAGCAAGCACAAAACTGTGCCAAGCATTATAATCTCCCAGACTTTTTATTTCTTCTTGTTGATAGTTCAACAACTAAATTACTCCATAATAATGCTGTCTCCGCATCCATTTTGTGTGGCCAAGTGGGCTGCATGGGCCTTGAACTGACAGTAGCCCTCTGGAGAGTACACACACTACATAACAACCTACACAGTCACAACTAAATGTGAATTTCTGATATGACTCCCTAACCATTCTTGTGATAAGCACTCTCCTCTGTCTCCCAGGGCCTTCCCATTGTGTGGCCCTTAGATGAGACCCCCCTGATGCTTACCAAAATCCTACTCTTTTTGGTTTGAATTAACCAATCTGGCCTCAGCCCAGGAACCAAAAGCATTCTGAGAACCCTAATTAAGGCATGTGCACAGGTTCCTCTTCTCTCTTTGCACCGTGTCTTGACCTCCCCATGTGGCCCCTTGAGGAGTGAAGTATGAATCCTCGAGGACCTATGAGCAATAAACTCTTTCACTTTCCCTTTCACTTACCCTTGTGGCCTTTTGTTGAACCGTGACACACCATCTGGCATCCCAGGGGTCTACTTAACAAATGTTATTTTAACAAAGTCCCAACACTTCTAAATTAATATCTTAATATTTTTCTATTCACCAAGATACAAACAAACCTTGTTCATTTTTAGAATCAATCCTCTCTTTCATCTCCTCTCTTAAGAAAGTCATCTAGGGGCGTCTGGGTGGCTCAGTAGGTTAAGTGTCTGCCTTTGGCTCAGGTCATGATCTCAGGGTCCTGGGATCGAGCCCTGCACAGGGCTCCCTGGGAGTCTGTTTCTCCCTCTCCCTCTGGCCTTCCTTCCCCACCTGTGCTCTCTCTTTCTCTCAAATAAGTAAACAAAATCTTAAAAAAAGGGAGAGAGAGAGGGGGACATCTGGGTGGGTCAGTCGGTTAAGCATCTGCCTTTGGCTCAGGTCATGATCTCAGGGTCCCGGGATCGAGCCCTGCATTGGGCTCCGTGTTCCGCCGGGAGCCTGCTTCTCCCTCTCTCACTCCCCCTGCTTGTGTTCCCTCTCTCTGTGTCTCTGTCAAATAAATAAATAAAATCTTAAAAAAAAAAGACAGAGAGAGAGAGCGCGAGTCATCTAATGCTAGTCTCTGAAATGTTTTCTATCTTTAATGGTATGTCTCTATCCCCATCACCACCATAAAATACATTGTTCTTTTCACTTCAAAGCCAGTTTGCTGTGCCAGTGGCCTGCCCAGCTGGCCCCAGCTGCTCTTCCGTTTCCAAACCATTTTGAATAGTGCCTAAATAATCACTCTTAATCCATGTATTCCGTGATGGTTAATTTTATGTGTCAACTTGGCTGGACTATGATGTCTAGTTGTTTGCTTAAACACCAGTCTCAGACCTTGCTGTGAAGGTGTTTTTTTCTTTTCCCAGTGGAGTTTGAGTAAAGCAGATTGCCCTGCATAATGTGGGTATACCTCCTCCAATCAGTTGGAGGCCCTAAGAGCAAATACTGATGTTACCTGAAGAAGAAGCAATTCTTACTCAAGACTGAAAGAGAAACCCTGCCTGACCTTGCAGCCTGCCTGGCCTGCTTCTGGAATTTGGGCCCAAGATTGCAACAGCAACTCTTACCACATTCTCTGCCCTGCTTGCTTGGCATACAGATTTTGGACTTGCCAGTCCCCACAGTCATGTCAGCCATTTTTTAACAATTTCAACATCTTGGGACGCCTGGGTGGTTCAGTTGGTTAAGCTCCTGCCTTTCGCTCAGGTCATGATCCCAGCATCCTGGGATCAGGCCCATGTGGGGCTCTCTGCTCAACAGGGAGCCTGCTTCTCCCTCTCCCTCTCCCTGCCCTTCGCCTGCTTATGCTCTTACACACTCTATCGAATAAACAAATAAAATCTTTAAAAAAATTTTCAACATCTTTCTTTCTCTCTTTCTCTCTCTCTATATATCTATTTACATTACATTAATATTATGGTAGCGTCAGTTTTACTGAAGAATCCTGACTAAACACAAAGTCATTCAATAAAGATTTCTTCTTGGATATACCTCATTGTCTCCACAGCTTTGCTTCTGTTGACCCACTCTTCTCTAATGCCCTCTTATGTCCCTGCTACTCACCCATAAGAGAACTCAGTTACCCATTTTCCAGGAAGTCTGCCCTATGCCTTCCCATTCTCCATTATCTCAATTTCCTTAGAATTTCTACTAAAAAGATATGTTTAACAACATTCAAATAAAGCTTTATAATATAGGAAGGAAAAAAATAGCACTGACTTTCTTCTGCATATGAGGAAGATTGCTATCATCTACGCTGAAGAAAAGCATATTACCTTGTTAAAATTATATACTCATTAACATTTTATCAGAAATTTACTGTAATTTTTTGTTTAATAACAAGTATATATAAAGTTTTTCACTTATGAAAGAGTAGACAGCCTTCAAGCTGAAGTACTGTAATCTATTAATGTTAAAAGCTGTACAAATCCAGAAAGTAAACTACATAAAGTTAATCCTGAAATAATACAATAAAATTCTTACAGATATATGCAACACACATTTGCATATACCTTATGAATGTAAAATATTCATTTAAAAGTGAATGATTGAAAAGTGATCATGAAACTTTCCTTAATCATAAATTTACCTGACTCTTCTTCATCAAACTTGTGGAATAGTTCTGATAATGATTTTTGAAAGGAGGGTACTCGACATTGATCTTGATCTGAGTCTTCCTGAGAGTCATCATCTCGTCTGCGTTTAACAGAAAATGAAATTGCACCTAAAACACATAAGTACAAGATGCCAGATTAAGCAGGGATTGGTTTTCTAAAATGAAAGGTCAGTTTTAGGTACCAAAGATGCTTTAGCTTGAAACTAATAAACAAAGACAAACATAAATTCTAGGTCTTACCATCACATTTAGACCTGATGGTGGTACAGAACAATTTCATAGAGAGTTCATTAATATTTAAGTATAACAGATAATTGGGTTTTCATTAAAACCAGCAGTGTGATACGTGGGTTCACAACTGGGGATGTCCGTCACCAGCTATGTGCCTTGGTTTGCCCAAATATGAAATGGAGGTGACATTGGTAGCAGCTGGTGACACTGGATATTACCAAGTGTCTGTGGTATTACACTGGCTCCCTCTGGGTCTCTGGGAATGCTCCCAACACTTCACCAACCTCTGAGTGGACAGGACTGGCCCCAGACTATGGCTGAGAGGGGCTGGAACCAGGTCAGACTGCTTCAGCATCTGCAGTCAGACTGAGGTGGGCAGGCTTGACCATAGAACATGGATGGGTGTTGTCTCCCTCTGGGTCCCTGGGCAAGCAGGACTGCTTCCAGACTGTACCTGTGAGGGGCTGAAACTGGATTATGGGGCTGCTCCCAGATGTACGGACAGATCATGGTCAATGGGCCTACTTCTGGGGCACAGACAAGTGTGTCTCCCAAGACGATTGTTCCCAGACCATGGCTTAAAGAGGATCTGCAGTTGGACCAAATTGGAGGGTCTGCCTCAGGTGTACAGACAGGTGTGTCTTCTCCAAGGTGCTAGGTGGGCAGGAATCATGGCTGAGAAGGGTTGAAGCTGGGCCATGAGCCACTTCAGGGTCCGCAGATGGGACTAAATTCCATGCGCTTGTTACATAGGGCATGGACGGCAATGAGTCTTGCTAGCTCCTTCTCATAAAGTGCTGGTGGCAGCACTCAAGCCCATTGAGGCTATAACTGAGTCCACAGGGGGGACAGGGCTATTTCTTGATCGGTAGCCAGGACCTTGGTTGGCAAGTCCACCACATGGGCACAAGCCTGCCTTTTCAAAATGGCCCTCCTCAGTCCTGGATTCCACCGGGGTTTCATAATTTCCCACCTGGATCCCACAGTTCCCACAAAGGCACTTTTGCTGTGGATGGCTTCCAAGTTACTGTTGCTGAATGGGGATACAGGTTTTGGATCTCCTATATTGCCATCTTGCTGATGTCACTCCTATCTTATCATTTTTAATCTTTTTATTTTAAAATATAAAGTCACTTAAGTTTCAGGTTAAATTTCATATCCTATTATGAACATGGCTTTCTGAGCCAAGATGTCCATCGACAGATGAATGGATAAAGAAGATGTGGTATATATATACAATGGAATATTATACAGCCATCAAAAGGAATGAGATCTTTCCATTTGCAACGACATGGATGGAACTGAAGGGTGTTATGCGGAGTGAAATAAGTCAATCAGAGAAAGACATGTATCATATGACCTCACTGATATGAGGAATTCTTAATCTCAGGAAACAAACTGAGGGTTGCTGGAGTGGTGGGGGGTTGGGGGGGATGGGGTGGCTGGGTGATAGACATTGGGGAGGGTATGTGCTATGGTGAGCGCTGTGAATTGTGCAAGACTGTTGAATCACAGATCTGTACCTCTGAAACAAATAATGCAATATATGTTAAGAAAACAAAAAAAGAAGATAGCAGGAGGGGAAGAATGAAGGGGGGTAAATTGGAGGGGGAGACGAACCATGAGAGACGGTGGACTCTGAAAAACAAACTGAGGGTTCTAGAGGGGAGGGGGGTGGAGGGATGGGTTAGCCTGGTGATGAGTATTAAAGAGGGCACGTTCTGCGTGGAGCACTGGGTGTTATGCACAAACAATGAATCATGGAACACTACATCAAAAACTAATGATGTAATGTATGGTGATTAACATAACAATAAAAAATTATTTAAAAAAACTAATGATGTAATGTATGGTGATTAACATAACAATAAAAAATTTAAAGAAAAAATCAAAAAAACATGGCTTTCTTATTTTACATAGTTTACAAACACATTATAAAAAGACAGGATACATAGTGCAAAGAACACAGGCTTTGGATAGAACCTGAATTCACACACTTGTTCTGCCACTACTAATTTAGCCTCGAAAATGTGATTTACCTCGTCTGTAAAATGGTGCTAGCTGTTTTGAAGATTAAAAGATTGTAGTTTATGCTTATGTAGGACTTAGTATATGATAGAAATTGTTCTAGGTGATTTACATTTATTAATATATTATATTACATTTAACTTTTTGAGGAACCTCCATGCTGTTTTCCACAGTGGCTGCAACAGTTTGCATCCCCACCAATAGTGCATGAGGGTTCCTTTTTCTCCACATCCTTGCCAACACTTGTTGTTTCTTGCATTTAGATTTTAAGCATTCTGACAGGTATGAGGGATACTGATTGTAGTTTTGATTTGCATTTCCCTGATGATGAGTGAGGGTGAGTATCTTTTCATGTGTCTGTTGACCAACTGAATGTCTTCTTTGGAGAAATATCTGTTCATGTCTTCTGCCCATTTTTCAATTGGATTATTTATTTTTGGGATATTGACTATTATTAGTTCTTTATATATTTTGGATACTAACCCTTTATTGGATATGTCATTATTGTTTTTGGTGCAACTGTAAATTAGATTGTTTTCTTAATTTCTCTTTCTGCTGCTTCATTATTAGTATATAGAAATGCAACATATTTCTCTATGTTGATTTTGTATCTTGTGACTTGACTGATTTCATTTATCAGTTCCAGTAGTTTTTTGGTGGAGGATTTAGGGTTTTCTATATAGAGTATCACGTCATCTGCAAAGAGTGAGAGTTTTACTTTTTTACCAATTTGGATGCCTTTTATTTCTTTAGGTTGTCTGATTGATGCGGCTAGGACTTTTAGTACTATATTGAATAAAAGTAGCGAGAGTAGATATTCTTGTGTTGTTCCTGACCTTAGTGTAAAAGCTCTCAGTTTTTCACCATCAAGTATGATGTATTATTTCCATTTTAAAGAAGGGAAACTGACACAAGAAAGTTCAGTAACTTGCCCAAGGTCAATCAGCTCATAAAAATACAGCTGGAATATGAAAACATGCATTCTGCTTCAAAGTTCATACTATTTTTTACTTAATTAATAAATTTAATTTTTTGAACAGTTTTAGGTTTACAAAAAAATGATGTAAAGTACAGAGTTCCTACATATCCCCTCTTGTTTCAGGTATTACAAGCATCTTGCATTATTGTAATACATTACTTGCAATTGATAAGCCAATAATGATACACCATTACTAACTAAATTCCATCGCTTACATTTTAGCTAACTTTTTCTGTTGTACCTTCTATGTCTTTGGCAAATATGTAATTCCATGTATCTACCATTACTCTATCATGCGGAATAGTTTCACTGCCCTGAAAATCTTCTGTGCCCCATTCATTCATCCCTTCCACCCAACCTCTAAAGAACTGGCTATCACTGATCTTTTACCTCTTCCAGAATGTCATATAGTTGGAATCATACAGCATGTGGTCTTTTTAGATTGACTTCTTTCACTTAGCAATATACATATAAACTTCCTTCATGTTTTTTTGTGGCTTGATAGGCCATTTTTTAAAAAGATTTATTTATTTATTTCAGAGAGAGAGAGGTGAGAGGCATAGGGAGAGGGAGAGAGAATCTCAAGCAGACTCTGTGCTGAGAATTAAAGCCCAAAGCGGGGCTTGATCCCATGACCGTGAGACCTGAGCTGAAATCAAGAGTTGGACACTTAACAAACTGCACCACTCAGGCACTGCAGGCCCATTTGTTTTTATCACTGAAAAATATTCCATTGTATGGATTTACCACCGTTTATCCATTCACCTATTATAGGACATCATAATTACCTCCACATTTTGGCACCTATGAATAAAGCTGTTATAAACATTCATGAGCAGATTTTTGGATGGACATAAATTTTCAACTCATTCGGGTAAATATGAAGATGTATTATTACTATATCAGGTTATGAGTATGTTTAGTTTTGTCAGATACTGCCAAACTGTCTTTCAAAATGGCTGTGGCATTCTATCATTTTGCATTCCCACCATCAATGAATGGAAGTTCCTATTGTTCCACATCTTTTTCAGCACTTGGTGTTGTCAGGACTTTTAAATTTAGCCATCCTAATTGGCAGGTAGTGGTATCTTGTTTTAATTAGCAGTTCCCTAGAGATGTGATGTTGAACATCTTTCTATACACTTATTTGCTATCAGAATATTTTCTTTGGTGAGGTGTCTCTTTAGATCTTTTGCCAATTTGTGTATATACATATATATATATATATATATGAGACAGATAAGGACACTATACATTGATAAAGTTCAATTCACTAAAACAAAATAAAAAACTCTTAAGCTGATAGATACAGAGAATAGACTGGTGGTTGCCAGAGGTGGAGGGTGTAATGTACAGCATGGCAATTATAGTTGATAATACTGTATTACATATTTAAAAGTTGCTAAGAGAGTAGATCTTAAGTTTTCATCACAAGAAAAAAGAATTTTGTAACTATGTATAGTGACAGACGTTAACTAGACTTACATGATGATTACTTTGCAATATATACAAATATCAAATACAAAATTCAATTCAGCAAGATTATATAAAAATTATAGATATATACACACCTAAAAACAGAGGCCAACAATATTTGAAACTAAAATTGACAGAACTGGAAGGAGAAATAAACAAGTCTACAATAAGAGTTGGAACCTTCAATACCTCATTTTCATTAATGGACAGAACAACTAGACAGAAGACTAATAAAGAAATAGAGAATGTGAACACCACTTTAAAACAACTAGACCTAATTGGATTATATAGAACATTCTACCCAACAACAGCAGAACACACTTTCTTCTTAAATCAACATGGAACACAGTCTAGGACAGATCACATGTGAGGCCACAAAGCATATCTTAATAAA